ATATGCAGCTTGACACTTGACCTGACATGGGTATCTAAATAATTAAATATAAATTAAGCCAGTATAGTATAAAAATAGAAATATTCATATATCATAAATAAGTTTAGTATATTATCATCATCCCAAGTTGAATAGACCTGAGTTTCCCCATATTTTAAAATTAAAAATTTACGACCATTAAGAATCAAAATACAAGGATATAGACTCATGAGTTCAAATCAAACGAAAAATGGGGTTGTTAGTCCGTTTACATTGTACGTAAAGTACCCCCCTGATCATAACAAAATCTACATAAGTTTTTTTATAAATCTATACTTGCCAGTTCATTTGTTATGTTCATATTTATCATATTAGTATGTTAAAAAATAAATTTTAAATGTTTTATGACAAAATATATAGTTTAGATAGAACATTTTAAAATAAATTGAAGTTCCGAAAACTTACAAGACTAATGGCATTACATAAAATCATGGAATTTCAAATTACAACTAAAAAAAGTAAGAATTTGAAAATTTTCATTAACTCTCACTTCTCAAGTCTGTCTCTTCTCTTTATACTCACTCATTGGCATGCTTTTAGTAAAGAAGTCATCAACTCAGCCGTTGATAGGTCTAATTTTCAACCAATTTTAGCCAGAGTTTTTTTATTGACGTTAGTGGAATTACATTTCCGTCGATGTAAGTTTTTCGGTCCATGTTGATATGAGTTATTCTATGGCTGACATTGTTGAGATCATTTTTCCGCTAGATCTATTTCTCAATCAACATTAGTTAAAATTTTCTTGTCAAATGTCATTGAAATTGTTTTCGCTCAATGTCTGGTGGAGTATTTTTTTTTCGACACTGCATGGATTGTTTTTTGATCGACATTATCAACATTAGCTTTTGACAAAAGTTGGTCAAGAATTTTTTCTTAACGTTGATTGAGTCAACCATGTCTAGACTTTTTTAGCCAATGTCAACTGGGGTAAATTTTATCCTACATTGGTTGAAAAGTTAGCAAAATAATAACCCAGACCAACAACGTCAAAAGAATAACCTTGATTAATGTCATCCAAAATAATTATGGATAACATTAGCATAAAAAAGAAAAAAAAAATCAACTGGTGTCAATAGAAAAAACCCTTGTTGGTCTTAGGTAAAACAAACTTGGCATCAAAAATATAATCTCCCCAACGTATGTTGAAAGCCATAAGCAAATGATACTTTTAAATTATTTAATATTGCTTACAATTAAAATAAGCTTTTTGCTTTTGGTGGTAATTAAAATATTCTATCCAAGCAAAAATAAAATTAAATAAATTTCAATTGTCTTATCCAAACAAACATTTGAAAAATGAAAACAATTTGAATTGAAATCAATTCAATGCATTTTAATTTCCTTCAAATTGTGAAATTATCCATCGATCACATGATCAATCTAAATAAAATAATCATACTGTTGTTGGTTCGGGACATCTACCTTTTTTGGGGAGTATTATCTTGTTGATGATGGGCTACCGTAAATAAAATCAAAACATAAATGGTGGCAAAATCTTTTAAGCAATGTTATTTATTATTACGGATATTCAGGCCCATGTTGCCCTCTTTATATTTCAAACATAAAGAGTGCTTTTGTACAGAACTTTATATGTTACCATGTCTAACCTGGCTGACTCGTCCTTGTCTAAGCACTTCTGGAGGCAAATTGACGTACTTTAGAAAGGCAGCTGCATGACCTCGCCACCAGTTATCACCATCCAGTACAGGTCGTCTATGAAGATATGAAACAGGAAAATAAAATCACAATGTTGAAGACGAAACCTTTTAATTTGTTAATTGAAAAGGATGTAATGGAAAGGGATACACGGAGACAAAGAATAGAGGAAAACTAATGATAAATGAATCAGTATGCATGAGCGCCACTAAGATCTGAATTAAAATATCAACAACCATTCAGAAATTTCTCTTGTAAACACACGGGTATGCATAGTGGTAATTGAGTAAAAGTATTCTTCATTCTTCACATTTACTTTATTGTCGAATATTCACCACTAAATACAACTTTGCCTATACTGTTTTTGTTTCATGATTCATGAAACTGTTAAACGTTGCAAGGCAAAAAAAAAAAACATAGACCTCAAAAGTGGAAGTAATTCCCTTCCCAGAACTAAAATCAAGAAGCAGAATTTTGACTCTTGTATCAAAATTTCCAACAAACAGAATGAGTACACATCAGTTATACAAACTTAAGCTTTTGGAGTTTGCTAACATATATTTGGATACATCATACTTTGTATCGATTTAATAAATCAAACTACGATGAAATAATACTTTTTCATTTCTTAAGATGAAAGAAATATCAACATAATTAAGGAAAAAGCTACATAGATGAGGGGAAAGTACCATTTTAGAGACACTGACTGGAAAGGAAAAACTTGAGAATAAATCAAACCGAACAAAGTAGAACTCTCCAAACACCTTGCCTTGATAAGACATGTACAATTTGAAGTTTATATATCATTTTAAAGTTACAAAGAACAAGTATCAGAACCACCTTGACCACAAAGTTATAATTAGTACTCAACCAATAGCACTCAAATTAAAAAGCTCATGCTACTGAGAAAGTGAGAATTCGGTTATAAAGACCTTTGTATACAAAAGAAAATGCCACCTGTTTCGGGTCCAGGGAGACAAAATCCCTTGTCTATACAACCACGCACAAGGAAATACACATGGATTTCGTCCAACATCAAGCAATGGACCCTGCATTCATCATTGAATGAAAAATAGGTGTTTAAAGCAAGTTAGTAAAAACAAAACATTAATTTGGAATTAGTATATTATAGTAATACTGTATATGCAGCTTCGGCAAATTTATGAAGAGCTTCCGCCTCCCTGATTTGCATCTCTGGTGCTTCCATGGATCCTTCATAGGATTCTGTAGCCATTCCATGGTTTTGAAGTAAAGCTAAAGCTGAACAACAAAAACTCAATGTCATAAAATTGCAAAGAGCTGACGTGCAAGTGAAATTAAATTGGTGCAGGTCAACATTATTGCAATAATATGCCACACGTCCATCTATCCGAAAGATGACCCATTACACAAAATATTCTATTTAGATCATGCTATAAATCCTTCACCGGCTACATCCCTCAACTTGATCAAGTCAACCACATGTTAGCATTTAACTACTATGGTAATGTACTGAGTTTATGATGAAAAGAGAAAAAAAAGAAAGACAGAATAGAGTAGGCGACTAAACAAGCCAGTGGCCTCTAGTAGTGAAAAATCTTTAATAAGGCTTGGTTTTAGATAACTGTTGTAAATATTCTGTGTTACGTTTTGCTGCTTTGTCTCAAGGAGGATACCCTTGTTCATTTTCTTGACAAGTATTTGATGTGTGGCATGGCTTGAACTAAAAAAGTTGCCTTGAGAACGATGTTATTGTGCAACATATATAAAACATAAAAAGACAAGTTTGAGATGAAAATTAGAAGAAACCTGCCAAGAGTTCCAAATGGCCAGTTCCGGAAGCACGATAAGCAACAAGATCACCAAGTAATCGTGCAACTGAATAGACTTCATCTTCTTCGGCTGTACTCCTGTGTTAGTTATTAAAGGAGGAGAGGTGAGATATAGTGAGAAACATTGTGGTTGCGGGGAGAAAGGTAAGGTTTAGTTATAGGTGTATACAAATAATTGAACCGGCCCAGACAACACAAGGTCTCCCGTATGCCATGATCGAAGACCTCGCTATAGTGGCATTTCCAAGCGTGATCATGGGTTTCGTAGAAAGACCTCCATTTGATAACATCGGATCCCGTGAAGCACTGGAGTATGGCAACAAAAGAGACGAGGATGATGAATACGAATAAAGCGGTGCGGTTCAATGGGGAATCTGCATTACATTGGTAAAGATTACAGAAAGAATGGGTAGAAAGAAGGATGGAGAAGAGTGGGTTCCAGAACTGACTCACCTACGACCTACCTAAAAGACAATGATTGGAGGAGGAGAAATGGCGAGTAGAGTCGAGAACAAGGTAAAGCGCAAAGAGAAATTGAAGGAGGGTAAGGATGGCCGAAGATCGACTCCAGCAGAGCCATTTCTTGTACATGGCCTGTTAATCGATCGATTGGAAAATGAAGAACGAAAGAATGAAGATTGAAAAAAAAGAGAGGAGGAGACGTGATTACCCACCCGTCTGCGGAGGCGTGTAAAGAGATCGTTGGAGTCTTGAAGGATGAGGGTGGCCGCGGCTTCTTGGGCGAATGCGGTTTGCAACATGACAAGAACCCTAATTGGAGCGGCGAGGGAGACAAGGAGGGCTGGAAAGGCAATGCGGCCATGACAGAGGCGGTGAGTTTGGAAGACGAAGAAGGCACCGATGAGAAGCACTGCCATGTTGGAAACTCCGACAACCAAGCTCCACCGGCTGAGGTTTCTCACAGCCAAACCCATACCCGTACCCGTTACCTGCACCAATCACAATTCAAATCATCCATCCCCATGCTTTCAACTTCACAATTCCTCGTTTCCATGCACGGGAACGGTAAACAATTCCTCCCACAATTCCATTATTTTAAATGAACCACAACTTCGCTTTTTAATTAAAATAAATAAATCAACCAAACATAAAAATTAAATGCTATATTTCATCTTGCAATCTTACAATAATAATAAAAAAAAATGATCCAATAGCACGGTGACCCCCACGAAACTACCAAAGAGGAGAGAAACTAATCGATAAGAAAACAATATTAAAATATGTTTGAAATAGTTAAGTCTGTTAATTAACTGGAAAACATTAAGTTAATTAATATCCGTACACATTGCATTAAGCAATTTAAGAATTTAAAAAAGTGGGAATATAAAAATAAAGAAAAATAGAAAGGAGAGGAAGAACCGGAGGTGGCGGAGAGAGTGGATGAGGAATCAAAAGATTCTGTGGGAATGAGGGCGACTTTTGTTAGCATTGGCATACGATACTATGAATGGGGTCGTGTTTGAAAAAAAGTGGCACGTGACCCAAATGGCAGTCAGCCAATGCAATTGCACAATGCGCAGGCAGTCTTAAAGTATTCCACAAGTGGCATACACCCACCAATGCCATCGCATCCATCTCTATCTAAATTGTTTATTTCTAAATCCTCCAACCAAACCAACTTGCTTTCTACTTTCTCCATCTCCCTCTCCACTGCTCTCCACCCATGTATCCTTCTTCCTCCTCCTCTTCCTCTTCTTCCTCCTCTTCTCAGTCCATGAGCCACGCGCCAACAGGCCTCACGCGCTACGGCTCCGCACCGGGCTCTCTCCTCACCACCACCGTCGATGCTCTCATCGGAGGATCACGCCCCACCCCCACCCCCACCCCCACCCCTTACTATTCCGGAGGAGACTCTTCCGACTCCACCTTCAAAGACCAAACATCGTATCACAACCACGCCCTCGGATCCGCCTTGCTCCGTCAGAAAAGCTCTCCCGCCGGCTTCCTCTCCCACCTAGCATCCACACCCACCGCCCCCACCCCCAATCACAACCACAATGGTAACGAACTTATTCTTCCTCAATTATTATTATTACTGTAAATGATCCTTTCGGCCTGGGCCCACTTCTTTGAGCGGGCCCGGCCCAATTGTCTCTCCACGTGTCTCATCTTTACTCAACGCAACGCAGGAGCGGGGTTCACAATCACGCGGGGTTCTCGGCTGAAGTCCCAGCTGAGCTTCACGGGTCACTGCCAAGAATCTCTCTGCGGCGGCGATAACACTAACAATGTGGTGCTTGGCGATCATGCCACCTTCGGAATGGAGCCTTGGGACGGTTCTCATTCTCATTCTAATTCCATCGCCTTTTCCGCTCCTCCAACTAAGCGCTCCAAAAGCTCCAACTCCAGCGAGCAAGACATTCTCCATTGCCTCAACGCCTTGGAATCTCAGTTTAGCCTTCCGCAGACCACTCTCGAAATGGCAACTGTCGAGAAGCTCTTGCACATTCCTGAAGATTCCGTCCCTTGTAAAATCCGTGCTAAGCGAGGCTGTGCCACTCATCCCCGCAGCATAGCCGAGCGGGTAATTTCTCGACTACTCCTACCTTTTTCTTTTACTTTCTCACTCCTCCTTCTTCTATTCAATTCCATCCACTTCAAACACAGGAGAGAAGAACCAGAATAAGTGGAAAGCTCAAGAAATTGCAGGACCTTGTACCTAATATGGATAAGGTATTGTTTCTATTTCTGTCTCCTTCTTTTCTTATGTCAAACTACTCTCTTAAATGGGGAAGCTCTCTTAATCTTGTTTCTAAATGTCTTTAATTCATTGTAGCAAACAAGCTATGCAGACATGCTCGATTTGGCCGTTCAGCATATTAAAGGTCTTCAAACACAGGTTCAGGTCTGTGAAATAACCTTACCCTTTCCCCCCTCTCTCTCTCTCTCCAATACTTTTCATTCCCATGCCTATTCAGGAATTATCAATTAAATGCTTCCAATATATGAAATCGCTATACAAATAATATATCTACAATCACGGTGTCTTGTAACATGCTTGGGTGAGAATTGGACGACATTGGTATTAGAAGGTTACTGCATTTGGTGTATGATTTCAGTAAAATATGAATTATTTTTATTTTCTAAATTGAATTCAATTAAAATTTCCCTTTTTCAGTGCATCCCTATATCCATTGTTGTGTTAGGCTTTTTACCAACCCCCTTGCGGATGAGGTGTGTTAAGTATGCTTACCCTTCATTGAATGCTAATTTACTGAATAAATCTGGAGTCGTTAGTTTTAGAAGAAATATGCAAATTAAGTAATCTATAAAGTAATTGCTGGAGGAAAGTGCTAGTAGTGCCCACGAGAAGGCAGAAACAATGCATGCGAAACATAGGTGTATCAAACATAAATATGACCCCTTGACGGAAATGCGAAACAGGGCCACGTTAATGAACAAATGCCCCCCCCCCGGAATTTCATTTCAGTTGTCTCCACCAATCAATTCCCTGTAAAATAAAAAATGTTGCTAATGGTTGTGAAGCCTGAAGATTACTCAGCTGCTGGTGGAAAAATAGTTCAATATCAAGCTTGGGATATTTTAGCACCCCTAAATCGTGCGTTAGCTCTTGAAAACAAACAACTTGCTGATACAGGGCAATGTTACTGTCCTCCTTTGAGATTGTCGTGCTATCTGGTCACTTCGAACAACGCTATTTTTCTCACGTAGCTAGCACCTTTCCACACTGGCAAGCAAATCCGCCACCA